CTTAAAGCTGCACTGTGTCACTTTTCTGGTTGGTGTTTTGCTCGTTTCTATGGAGACGTCGCTGCTCTGTCTGGAATGTTCCACAGTGTGACTTTAAACAGCTCGACTTTACGTTTATTCAATCAGAAATCGGAAAAACACCTAAAAAAACCATGAGTTCTGACTGTGAGCGGGGTCGCCTCTCCACAGATCTGACCTGGAACTTGGCCTGGTTTGGTCTCCCATGACGATAGAAAGGTTTAATGCCACACTGTGGAACATTCCAGACAAACATCTACATCTTTCAATCGTTTATTCAGAATGATTCAGACTTAGAGGCGATAAAAAGTCCAATGTTACGTAAACATTTTGTTTGGTTCACGTGTTTGAGTAACTCTGCTCCACCCCGTGATGTCATGAAGTGGTGGATAATTTGTTTCATCAGATTTTTAATATTTGAAACACCGTTGAATTTTTTTTTTAATCTGAAAAAACATGTTTGAATTATATTTTTTCTAAATTTGAGTTAATGAATATATATATAATTTTTAAAAATAACAACAACAAACATGGAGATTTGACGCTCACTTTTTTCCGAAAATCCTTCCCAATATGAATTGCACAATGACCAGAAGTCCGAGATTCGTGATGCATGTATAAAGGTGTAGTTATTAAAAAAAAAAAACAAAAAAACTGAAATACAAGAAGCAGATTTGTGTTTTGACCTTTCCAAGATGGCCGACACTTTGCCGCGTGTTTTCGTTAAGACTCGGCTCCTCCTCGGTTTTCGCGTCTCCGTGTCGTGTCCTCGCGGATATTTCTTCTTCTCCAGTATTTTCAAAGTTTGTTTTTTTTTCCATTCAAATGTGCAAAAGAAGAAGAAGAAGAAGAGTAGAAGAAGAAGAAGAAGAAGTCCCCTGGCTATTTCTCCCCTCGTGTGTTTTTAAAGGCAACGTTATTATTTCGCGGACCATAATTCTGACAATCACAGTGAAGTTCATCGTAGGGGGATTCAGTGTTGCCTCGGTACAATGTTAAAAAACAAAATCAAAAATCCCTTTTCCCCCTGCATAAAATAAGACTTTGGCGATAGTTTGTTTTTTGTCGATACAAACGTCTCTCCGGTCACACAAACTGCCTTCAGAGTTCAAAAGTCTGGTGTGAGTCGGACCAAAATGCGTCAATGCCCCGAAAATAAAGCAGTTGACGGGTTGAGGCTACAGAGAGAAAAGTCCAGCGCCGCGGTCGGAGTCAAACATTCAAAAAGTTTCGTGTTTTTTTTTTTAGATCCAGAAAAGATGCGGTTTTGAATGAAGCTTCTGGTTTCAGGAGCGAGCGGCTGGAAACACGACGACGGGAATAAACAGAAGCAGGACGAGAAGATCTGGGTGGGTTTAGTCCTGGTTTAGTCCTGGTTTAGTCCGGGTTTTAGTCCGGGTTTTAGTCCGGGTTTTAGTCCGGGTTTTAGTCCGGGTTTTAGTCCGGGTTTTAGTCCGGGTTTAGTCCTAGGTTAAGCTTTATTTAGACCTAGTATAGTTCTGCTTTAGAATTGATTTAGACCTCGCTTAGTCCTTGTTTAGTCCTGATTTAGTCCTGGTTTAGTCCTGGTGTAGACTTGGTTTAGACCTGGTTTAGTCCTGGTTTAATCTTTATTTAGACCTAATATAGTCCTATCTTAGACCCAGTTTAGTCCTTATTTAGAACTGACTTAGTTTTGATTTAGACCTAGTACAGTCCTGGTTTTAGTCCTGGTTTAATTTTGTCTTGGTTTGGTCCTGGTTTAGTCCTTGTTAGTCCTAATTTTATCCTGGGCTGAATCTGGTTTTATTCTTGTTTCAACCTGTTTAGAAATGGTTTAGTTTTGGTTTAGTTCCTGGTTCAGATCTGTTTTTTTAAGTCCTGGTTTAGACCTAGTTTAGACCTGGTTTAGACCCAATACAATGTTAGATTAGTTCTGGTCTAATCCTTCTTTAGACCTGGTTTGGAATCTCAGTTAAATCCTGTTTTAGTCCCGGTTTAATCTTGATTTAGACTTCGTATAGTCCTGGTTTAGAACTGGTTTAGAACTGGTTTAGAACTGGTTTAGCCAAAATTTAGTCTTGGTCTAAATTTATCCTGAGTTGAATCTGGTTTTATGTTTTGTTTAGAAATGGTTTAGTTTTGGTTTAGTTCCTGGTTCAGATCTGTTTTTTTTTGTCTTAGTTTAGACCAGTTTAAGTCCTTGTTTAGACCTGGTTTAGTCCTCGTATAGAACTGGTTTAGTGCAGTTTTTTCCTGGATTAGCCCTAATCAGTTTCACATGTTTTAGTCCTGATTTTAGACCTCGTTTAGACCTGGTTTAATTCTTGGTCAGACCTTTTTATGGCTTAGTGTTGTGTAGGTTTAGTTCCTAGTTTGGACCTCATTTTAGACCTGGTTTAGACCCAATACAGACTTAGATTAGTTCTGATCTAATCCTTCTTTTGCGTCTTGGTCAAATCCTATTTTAGTCCCGTTTTAGTCCCGTTTTAGTCCCGTTTTAGTCCCGTTTTAGTCCCGGTTTAGTCCCGGTTTAATCTGGTTTTAGTTTTGTTTTAGTCCTGGTTTAGTCCCGGTTTAATCTGGTTTAAGTTTTGTTTTAGTCCCGGTTTAGTCTTGTTTTAGTCTCGTTTTAGTCTTGTTTTAGTCCGTTTAGTTTTGTTTAGTCCTGGTTTAGTCCCGGTTTAGTCTGTTTAAGTTTTGTTTTAGTCCCGGTTTAGTCTTGTTTTAGTCTTTTTTAGTCCCTTTCTAGTCCCGTTTTAGTCCTGTTCTAGTCCCGGTTTAGTCCCGTTCTAGTTCCGGTTTAGTCCCGGTTTAGTCCTCAGTCCTGTACTTGGCGTGAGGACTCACACTTGGTTTGCTTCGTTCCTAAAAAATCTTTGTTTTTCGCTCCAAACGTTCAAACCCGCTTCCGTTTATTCCGATCGCGCCGTGATTCGCCGTCAGCTCGTCGACTCGTTGCTCTCGTTCGTCGGGCGCGTCGAAACGGGCGCCGCGCCGCGTCTCTGGACTCGTCGTGTGTGGGCGGCGCTCGGTCGGCGGTGATTGGCTGGCACTCCGGTGTGTCTCATTCTCATTGGCACAGAGGGTCGTGAAGAAGGCGGAGCTACTGATCCCCTGAGAGGCACAGCGAATGACAGAAGAGATGGAAGAGGCGGGCGGGGCTAAGACGGGCCAATGAGGAAGTGTCCTTGTCAACGTTTTTGTTTTTTTCTTTTCCCGACTGATCAGTAGCTTTAAGTTTGAAATTTACAAACACTCGCTTGGTGGGCACGGCGCCGGGAACCAGCTCGGAAAAACAGCCCGAGCGTCCGGAGTTTACCGCAGTTTTAGAGCTCGACGTCGCGATTTAACGAGTTCTTGTGCAAAATTTAAACTCATGGATCGTAAACGTTTGAGAGAAAACTGAAATCTGACGCTTTCCGGAACATTTTACGCACAAACTCGCCGATTGTGACGGTTCAGTCTTTGTCATTTCCACGTAAAACAACAGGTTCTTTTCACGATCACGTCACAAAACCCGAAAACGTTTGGAAACTTGAGGATGACGATTGTGGATTTGCGAAAATAACTGACAAAAGAAAAGAAAACTGAGAAAATGACCCGGTTTACTTCATCTAGACGTCCCAGTATTCTTCTGTTCCTTTTAGAAACTGCCTATTTAGATCTAGTTTGGTTTAGTCCTGGTTTAGATCTTGTTTAGACCTTATTTAGAACTAATTTGGTGTTGATTTAGACCTAATATAGTCCTGGTTATGTCCTGGTTTAGACCTGGTTAAGCCAAAATTTTGCCCTGGTTTAGAACTGATTTAGTCTTGGTTTAGATCTGGTATAATTTGGGTTTAGTCCTTGTTTAGAACTGATTTAGTCTTAATTTATACCTAATATAGTTCTGGTATAATCCTGGTTTAGTCCTTGTTTAGACCTTGTTTAGACCTTGTTTAGACCTTGTTTAGGTCTAATTTGTTCCTGGGTTGAATCTGGTTTTATTCTTGTTTGACAAAATTTGGGAAAACTGAGAAAATGTCCCAGTTTTCTTCATCTAGTCGTCAAGAGACCAAGTTTAGAGCTGGTTTAGTCCCTGTTTAGTCTTGATTTAGACCTAGTATAGTCCTGGTTTAGTCCTCTAGATGTCACTGTATTCTTTCTTTTATCCTTTTATAAATTGCCTTTTCATTTTTTGTGTTTATAATTAGTTTAATTTAATAAAACTATGATCCGAGTCCCGTCCCCCGTGTAAATCTTCAGCAGGTTGTGAAAACTCTGCTGCTGAATTCACAGTTTTATTGTTTTATCACATTCTCAGCGTCGGGAAGAAATCCACCGGAACTCGTCATCCGCATGTTTCCAAACGTTTTCCGATAAACGAGAATAGATCTTGTTGCCCTCGTGTACGAAAAATGACACTAAATAAATAAAGTTTGATCAGATTTTGACTAAATCCTGGTTAATTTTTTTTTACTGCGGTTTTACTTTAAATTAAAAATTAAATATATTATTGACATTTCAAGTAAACTGTCAGATGGACGTTAAATCTTAAAGGTGCACTGCGTAACTTTCTGGCTGTGGGTCCGTTACCTGCTTGTTTCCACGGAGACGTCACTGCTCTGCCTGGAATGTTCCACAGTGTGACTTTAAACTTTACATTTATTCAATCACAGGTGGTTTTATAGTGTCAAAAACACATCGTAAAACCGACATTGTGACTGTGAGCGGGTCGCCTCTCCACAGACCTGACCTGGAACTTGGCCTGGAGGGATTGTGGGCTTGTATCCATGGATACAGAAGAGTTTAATGCCACACTGAGGGACAAACAAGATCAAAAACATTTCCATGAAGTAACTCAGTCTTGTTCGTTACTTCGGAATTAAGTTTGATTCCGAATCATTTCCATTTGGAATTAAGTGTTTACATGGACTTTTTAAAGCGGGATTAATTTTTATTTGGAATTAAATTATTTTTATTTGGATTTAAAGCTCTCATGTGAACGTGGCAACTGTGAAACATTCCAGACAAAGTGATAAAGTCTCCAAGGAGAAAAGCGTTTGACAAAACCTCCACCGGAAAAGTTACGTACTGCACCTTTAAATCTCTCTTCTTTGTTGTTAAATTTTTTTTGAACCTATAGAGTCTTTGCACCGTCACATGTCCCTATAGCAACAGTACCTACGCCGCCATGACACCGGGAATCGTTTTATCGTTTTCAGAGCGTCTAGAACAACCAAATACACAACAAAACCTGCCCATGTTTCTCCGATGCTGCTGAAGTCAGTGACACAGTGTGTCCGGTGTCATGGCGGCGTAGGTACCGTTGCCATGGGGACACGTGACGGTGCAAAGCCTCATAAAGGACCTGAAGTCTAAATATTATAATGATATTTCTAAATTTTACACAGAAACTTTGTTAAACAGCAAAGTACAAGCCCAAGTTTTGGTGCAATCCAAGACGCTCACACCACTTCCGAGCTCATTCCCGACGCGATCGCCACTTCCTTGAGCCGCGACCCTATTGGCTGCTCTCTGCGTTCTCCACCAATGAGAGGCCTTGGAGGGGCGGCGGCAGCAGCTCTCGTTTGTAGGTCTTTGGCGGTAGTTTGGGCAGCTGCGGGCTGGAGTTGTGGCGCGGGGGGACGGCGGGGGCGGCGGTGGGGGGCAGCGGGCACAGACTGTTTTGGCTGGCACTTAGCGGGCAGCTCCGGCGCGGGACCCGCGGCGACGGCGTGCTCGGCGGCGTGTTGGGCGAGCTGGGCGAGCTGTTGAAGTCCCAGTGGTAGCGTCCGACGGGGGAGGGCTGCAGGTTCAGGGGGTAGTTGATGAAGATCTCGGGCGGGCGCTGGGGCACGGGCGGCGGCGTGTCGGGCATCGGGTCGCGGGGAGGAGGGGGAGGGGGACTGGGTAAAGGCCCGTCCACCGGCAGAGGCCCGTTGTACGGCGCGCGCGGCTGCGTGCGAGGAAGAGGAGGGGGCAGCCGAGGGGGGATGGCGGGAGGGTTGTCCGAGCCGGGACCCATCTGAAAAGAGAGAGAAAAAAGAGAGAAAAGAGAGTTTAAAGGGATCCACAGGGAACAGGAGAAAAGATCTGAAATACGACTGAAAATGAAGTCCTGGTTTAGTCCTGGTTTAGTCCTGGTTTAGACCTGGTTTAGACCTGGTTTAGACCTGGTTTAGTCCTGGTTTAGTCCTGGTTTAGTCCTGGTTTAGACCTGGTTTAGACCTGGTTTAGCCCTGGTTTAGCCTGGTTTAGCCCTGGTTTAGCCCTGTTTAGCCTGTTTAGCCCTGGTTTAGCCTGATTAGACCTGATTTTAGCCCTGATTTAGACCTGGTTTAGCCTGGTTTAGTCCTGATTTAGTTTAGCCTGGTTTAGCCCTGGTTTAGCCCTGTTTAGCCTGGTTTAGCCCTGGTTTAGCCTGATTTAGCCCTGGTTTAGTTTAGCCTGATTTAGACCTAGTTTAGTCCTGATTTAGACCTGGTTTAGCCCTGCTTCAAACCTAGTTTAATCCTAGTTCAGTCCTGGTTTAATCCTGGTTTAGTCCTAGTTCAGATCTACATTAGACTGGTTCAGACCTACTTTAGTTCTGGTTTAGTCCTGGGTCAGGCCCAGTTTAGACCTGGCTTAGACCTGGTTTAGACCAAGATTAGACCTGGTTCAGACCTTGTTTAAACATAGTTTATTCCTGTTTTACTCCTGGTTCAGTCCTGATGCAGACCTGATTTAAACCTGGTTTAGACTCAGTTTAGACCCGGTTCAGACCCAGTTTAGTCCTGGTTTAGTCCCAGTTTAGACCCAGTTTAGTACGGTTTAGACCCAGTTTAGACCCAGTTTAGTACTGGTTTAGACCTGGTTTAGTCCTGGTTTAGTCCCGGTCTAGTCCCGGTCTCACCTTGGTGTCTGAGAGCGCGTCCTTCCTTCTCGGGGGCAGAGGAGGGGGTTTCAGAGGCTCCTCTCCGAGCTGATGGAGACTTCCACACGACACCGACTGAAATTCTGATCAAACAAAACAAAAAAAACATCAATAATCAATAAAACGAGATCAATAAAACCGGACGAGGGAGGAGGGAGAGTCCGCAGACCTTGGAACTTACTGGAAGGCGGCAGAAGGACCGGAGCGAATATCGAGTTTCCAGCTGGAAAAAAGAAAATGAAAGAAATAAAATTAATAAAATTATGAAAAAGATCGTTTTAATTAGAAATAAACAGATACATGATCAATAAAGCAATATTCCTGAGTATTTTGGGTAATTTTATTTAAAAGAGGTTTAGTCCAAGTCCAGGTCCAGTCCCACTCCCAGGTCCAGGTCCACGTCCAGTTTAGTCCAGGTCCAGTCCCAGGTCCAGTTCCAGGTCCTCCTCCAGTCCAAGGTCCAGGTCCAGTCCCAGTTCCAGGTCCAGTCCCAGTCCAAGATCCAGTCCAGATCCAGGTCCAGTCCAAGGTCCATGTCCAGTCCCAGATCCAGTCCCAGTCCAGTAATAGCCCCAGGTCCAGCCCCAGGTCCAGCCCCAGGTCCTGCTCCAGTCCCAGTCCCAGGTCCAGTCCCAGATCCAGTCCCAGTCCAGTCCCAGTCCAGTCCCAGTCCCGTCCCAGTCCAGTCCAGTCCCAGTCCCAGTCCAGTGTCCGGTCCAGTCCAGTCCAGTCCCAGTCCCAGTCCAGTCCAGTCCCAGTCCAGTCCAGTCCCAGTCCCAGTCCCAGTCCCAGTCCAGTCCCAGTCCAGTCCAGTCCCAGTCCAGTCCCAGTCCAGTCCAGTCCCCAGTCCAGTCCGGTCCCAGTCCGGTCCGGTCGGCGTTTACCTCCGTAGGAGTTGCTGAGCTCGTGCTCCATGAAGACGCTGCTGAGGTCTGAGGAGGCGGACTGTGGGGGGGTGGGAGTGTTTGGGCTCGTGGGCACAGAGGCAGAGGTCGGTGGTTCCTGCTCCGTCTCGGCGATGCTCCTGAACGTGATTTTATGAGGCGGCTCTCGCTCCAGGGGGACGGGGTGACCCTTCAGAGTCCCCGAGGTCGAGGTGCGCACCGGCCGGATCCCCGGAGACTTCAGAGAGTAAACCGTCTTTCTGGGCTGGAAACGGAGAAGGAAACGAAAGAAACAGAGACACCAGTTACTACAGTTAAACATTTAAACATTTATCCATTTACCGTATTTTTCAGACTATAAGTGTCACTTTAAACAACAAAATCAGATTCTGCAGATTTACAAACTGCAAATCGTGAAAACTGCAGCTGAAAACGGAACTCGAGCAGCAGAAAGAAAGTTTGGTTCAGTCCAGGTTTAGTCTGGTTTTAGTCCAGGTTTTAGTCCAGATTTTAGTCCAGGTTTTAGTCCCAGGTTTAGTCCAGGTATTGTTTCAGGTTTATTCCCAGGTTTAGTCCAGGTTTAGTCCAGGTTTAGTCCAGGTTTAGTCCAGGTTTGTTTCAGGTTTCCAGGTTTAGTCCAGGTTTAGTCCAGGTTTAGTCCAGTTTTAGTCCAGTTTTAGTCCAGTTTTAGTCCAGTTTTAGTCCAGGTTAAATCCAGGTTAAATCCAGGTTAAATTAAGGTTTAGTCCCAGGTTTAGTCCCAGGTTTAGTCCCAGGTTTAGTCCCAGGTTTAGGCCAGGTACTGTTTCAGGTTTAGTCCCAGGTGTAGTCCCAGGTTTAGGGTTAGGGTCCTGTCCCAGGTCCAGTCCAGTCCCAGTCCCGGTCCCAGTCCCAGTCCCAGGTCCAGATTTTTTGTCTGGTGTGATTTATACTCTGGAGGTATTTACAATTTGAAAAATACGGTTTATTTCCCTTTATTGACCGTCTAAGTGACGTCAAGGTTTGATTGTCTCAGATTTCTTAAAAACTGGATGAAGGAAAGATTCAAGTCATATTGTTTGGACCTGGTGTCTCCCACTCCGAATCCCACTCCGAATCCCACTCCGAATCCCACTCCGAATCCCACTCCGAATCCCACTCCGAATCCCACTCCGAATCCCACTCCGAATCCCACTCCGAATCCCACTCCGAATCCCACTCCGAATCCCACTCTTCCACTTTCCCGTTCTTAAACCCTGACGAGACACTTACGAATCGTGGCGGCTGCCTGCTGTGCCGGGGCTCGATCTCCATAGACATGTTGAAGAGATAATCGGCAAACTCCTTCTCTCCTCTGTTCCCCATCGGATTCAAGTTTTCAAAGAACCTCTGAATCGAGAAAACATGAAGACTCACGTTAAAAGGTTAAAACATTTGACTCCTAAGAGAAACAAAAGTAGAGTTTAAAGGTCTGATATTACACACATTTGATTCTTGTTCGCTCAAAATCACGTTCTAATGTTGTTCCCTGGTCACAAACAGAGCTGGAGTTTTGTTTGTTTCATTCACATGTTTGAGTAACTCTTTATTATTAGTCTGTTACACCTTGTGATGTCATGAAGTGGTAGTTTTGAGAAAGTGAACAGCTCCTTTTACCTTTAGCTCAGAAACGATTGGCAACTCCAGGGCTGAAATGATCCAAACTGATGTGAACTTCCTTTATTACCACATGACGTCCCGTTTTACGACGTGACATCACAAGGTGAAACAGAGTGTTTTCAGTTTGAGAGAAGAGCTCGGTCTAAATGTGCAGATTTGTGAGTTCAATTATGAATGAAAAAAAAACACAACTCCAGGTCTGTTTGTGACGAGGAAACTACATTAAAACACACATCAGAAAACACATAATACGGTTTACGCCCTTTAAGGTTGAATGAAAATTAAAAACGTACATTAATTTGAAAGGTTGCAAACAACAAAATCACAAAGAATGCAATTTTTTATAGAAAATTATAGAAATATAGAAATTTATGGGATTCTTGTATTAGTTTATCAGCACGTATGAAGTAAAATTACACAACATTACACAATTTTGAGAAAAAATGATCAAAATTGTCTATACAAAAATATCGGCAGACCTAAAAAAAACAAAAACAAAAACCATATCAGTCAATTTCTAGCTGCTTTAGGAATGAATCAATACTAGTGTTTTATATTCATGAGATTTAACTCCCTGTAGTTGTTGTTTTAACCAGAGGTGGAACTTGGACTCAAGTCAGACTTGAGTCACTATTTTTGGGACTTGGGACTTGACTTGATAAAATGGACTAAGACTTGGGACTTGACTCGGACTTGACGCCTGTGACTCGAGAAGACTTGATGTTTCCCCCCCAAAAATATGTTTTTATAAAATACTTTTCTCTTTACAGTTGATAAATGCGACGCTGAATTTGACAGAAACAAACTGGAACATGTCGCTCCAACTTCTGTTTGGAACTGTAGTACTGTGATACTCAAAAGTACTACAGTAATATAATGTACTATACAGAAAAACAGAAGGAACTACACGAAACACAATCCTTTTGTTTTAGTGCAGACAAAATAACTGATATTAAGCATTTTTAAATCTGAATTCTTTCTATTTTGATGTAATGATTCACACTCAGATCCTTAAAAAGGAAATATTTGCATTTCTACAACTCTTATATACTCTATAAATACTCATATATAAATATAAGGTGACTTTTTCAGAATAATTTAGCTTAAAACTCATAAATTGCAAAAATCAAAGTTATATTTGCTACTTTTTTTGGTTTAAAGAGTTGAAATGACTTGAACCTCAAAGCAGACGACTTGGACTTGACTTGGACTTAAGGACCAGTGACTCGAGCCTCGACTTGGACTTGTCTGTGTTTGACTTGGGACTTGAGACTTGCAAAACAACTTGGTCCCACCTCTGGTTTTAACTCCCTGTAGTTTAGTTTTAACCCCAATATTTCCAGACAATAAAAAAGATTAAAAACAAAAAAGCTATTAAAACATATAATATCTACAGTAAATATCTATAACTTAACAGCATTATTTTTCCCTGCGTGTTATTTTATTTTGTTTAAGTGTATTTGCGTCTGTTCCTCTGGTGTAGTTGGTTCTTGTGTGTCGCTGCGTGTATCGTGTGTGTTGTTTGTGTGATTTTTACGTCCCTGGTTGTTTCTTACCTTGGTGGATGTGTATTTGATGATGTTGAATAATAAAAAATTTAAATAAAATGTTGTAGTTTTAACTCCCTGTAGCTGATGCTCTTAACACTGGTTTAAACTGTGACCCAGACCTCGATGTAAACCAGACTGTATTAGCTTTAGTTTAGTTTTTAGTCCTTTTATTCTCCCCGTAGTGAAATGGTCTTAGTTCTGAACGCCGCGCTCACCCTGATGTCCTGCTCCACTTTCAGACAGTACGGCTGGTTCTGGTACTGTTGGATCTCGCCGGTGATTTCCGCCACTTTCCGTCGTTTGCTGAAGTTGATGAGTTCTTTTCCGTGGCGTTTCAGAAAATCCGGGTTTCCCTCTTCCGTCTTCAGGATGTTGGTTAAATATATTCCTGGGAACACATTATAAAATTAAAAATTAAACGCTGTAACTTTTCTGGTTCCATAAACCTGTTTCTGTCCATGGAGATGTATTGGTTCGTCTAGAATGTTCCACAATACAGCATTAAACTTTTCCATCTCTGTAGTGACAACCAGGCCAAGTTAAAGGTACATATGGGATGATATTAAAATTTTTAGTCACAATTATAATTGCCATAAATCAAAATGAATCTTCTAAAACTAGGGGCAATTTTAGTACAATTTCAGTCATCGGCTGGATTTTTTTTCTTAATTTTGCTGTTAAAACTCTCTCTTTTACCCCTTAATAAAGTGTTATACATCCTTTTATTCACTACAACCTGTTATTTGACAATCTGCTGCTGTAGCTCTGTCATGTGGCTGTAATAAAACTACAGGACCAGAAATACACATGGAAAAAAATAAAATGAATAAATTCACACTCACATACAAAACACACAGTAAACATGTATAAACAACTTTTTGGACATAAAAAATTATTAATTTAGGGCTACAAAAGTGCAAAATATCAAGTCTGTAAATAAACTAAAAATATCCTCATTGCCTCAAAACAAAAAAGTGCCATGTCCTCATGACTTGACTGGTGCAGGTCGTGGAAACAGCTGGAGTCAGGTCCAGGGCACAGAGACACAACACTTCCTGCATTTCCAAGGTAATTATTACATTTGGATTTGGACATTTAGACTGAAATAAACCTTTCAAATTAAAATAGCAAGGGATTTACGCAAAGACCAAGATGTGTAATTTGTCCATTTATTAGAGAAATCTCTGCACTTCGAGCGACTTTTTCAATTGTTCTGAACACAGACGCTCAGAACATCAAACATTTTGACTTACTTCACTCTTTGGCAAAGTTTGGACCAAGAAAAATGGATGGAGCGACTGTGTTTGGACTAAAACAAAGTTCATATTGGACACTTGTTTCCTCTTCGTCATCACCTAGAGAGTGACGGAGGATAATGACGGAAATATACTCGGAAAGACAAAACTCTCAGCTTTTCAAGGGGAAAAAAGTAAGTTTCTAACTTTTATGGTTGGAAAGTTCTGCGTAGTTAAATAAAACATGTCTGGAAGGTTTAAGAAAAGCAAAGAAAAGAGAAAGTACATTTAAATATATTTCATGTAATTAAAATGAAAATAATAATAATGCTACATTGGGCTGGTAAACCTCAACATGAAAATTAATTCCTATATAATTATTCTTTTATGCTAAAAGGGGACAGTAGAAACACATGTCCCCAAAGTTATGGAAATATTAAACCTTTTCCAAAACAAAAGAGCGTTTTCTTTCCCCGTGTTCAGTAAAGATCAGTTTTGTTTTGGGAAACACTAAAAACTCATTAAACTCCTTTGAAATGTGGAACATAAATACGGGACAAACGCAGTGAAAACAGTGACAGCACAAACTGGAATAAACCTTTGGTGCTTCAGACCGAACAAAAGCACCAACACAGCATTTTAAAGATCGACTGTGTAACTTTTCCCTGCTGGTCTCTATGGAAATGTTATGGATTGATTTGTTTTTTTCAAGTTTGTGCCATGAGAGAAAAAAAATAATCAGACACAGACTACAGATCTATTGTAAACAACAGAAAAGAGCTGTGTTTTTCTGATACCATTTCTTTTGGGATCTGATCTGATACTGATACTTGGCCTTGGTGTACTCACTGATACCGATACCAGTCCGATACTAGTGTGAAGAAGTTCACTCATGATACCTAATTCCTAATAAACAAAAATAAATCTTCTAAAAGGCTATTTCAAAAGAAAATCCGCAATAAAAAATAAAATTTTGAGGACTAAAATATTTGATGATTTGATGATGATGATTGGTGAAATGTTTAATAATCTTAAAGATAAGTAGTGCTGATTTAAGATGATTTAAGTGCATGAAAAAAACAGCAGTGAGGCCTGTAAAAAGACGCTCATCCTCAGAGCTCATGTATTATTATGAAGAGTAAACAAAGTCAGAGTTGTTGTTGCTGTTGTTATCGAGCTGCACTCTCCCGGTGATTTTACTAAGTTCAACGTCAACACCAAAGGCCAAATGAAGGTATCAAAGAGGAAACTCAAATGTCTTTTCTGTTTTTAGCGTGTTTTAAGAGTCTGCAGAGCCTCCACAGTCGGTGTTTAATCTGCTCTGAGCTTTAACGGCAGCAATAGTCACCGAGGTAAACGGCAGCAGCTTGAATTTACAGCTCCTCATTCAGGAAAATACAGAGTGGTATCGGATCTGTGATTTGGTCTGAGTACTCGCCGATACGATTCCTGACAAATGTGTGGTAGAAAAGTCTCTATATTGTTTTTATCCATTTTATTTCTTTATTTATTTGTACTGCCGTATTATTTTTGTTCTTATTATTTTAACTATTGCTTCTATTTGTTCAGAACATAATTCTCCTGATGTTTTAAAGTGAAATGTTTTACTTTGCTTTGTGAAGTGTTTTAGAAACTGTCTTGTTTCTAAAATGTGCTGTACAAATAAAGTTGGATTGGATATATTAAACCATAGGCTCTTAAGTCCAGTCCATGGTTTTCCAGTGGAGAGTTCTTACCAAAGAAAGGCACACAGGGTGGGTTTATTGACTTGAGTTTTGCCAAATATTTCTTAAAATGGTCCTGGCTCAGCTCCACGGCCTCCTCCAGAACTTTCTTCTTCCTCTCCGGGATCGCCTGAAAAAGAAACACATGGGTTTGGTATTTATAATTGTACATGTTTTCTTGTTTGTTTGTTTTTTTTAAATACTGCATTTTTCAAAACTATAAGGACCTTTTAAAATCCTTTAATTTTCTCAAAAATCCACTATGCGCCTTATAATCTGATGTGCCTTATGTATTACTTTTGGTTGTGGTTACTGACCTCAAACCGATTTTCTGTGGTACACGGCGCTCAAAAATCTGTCAAAATGTTTTAGTACGACTTTGGTAAACTTCGAAGCCGCTCCGCATGATGGATTGTCGGAGCGTTACAGCTGCTGTAGTGAGGAGCCTCGTGGAGTAAAACACATTCACCAAGACAAGGAGGTGACGGCGGGAGAGTTACGCCACGATCTGCTGATGGATCGTGGACGCCTGGGCTCAGGATCAGTCTCAAGAGTCGTCCGAGCGTTTACGACCATCACTGAACAGCGAGGGAGTGTATTGTTTTGTATTTTATGTGTTACGACAGAACAATGTTGAGAGTTTTCCTGTGAATGAGTTGAATAATGTTTGACTTGTCTGACTGTTTTGTTTCACTTTATGCGCCTCATAATCCGATAAATACAGTAGATGTTCTTTTAAAGGCCCCGTTCACACTAGTGTGTATGTGAGTGGTGTTGTTGTGTGTACAGTGTTCGTTCACATTAATCTGATGGAAAACGTCTCCAGAGTCTGAACGATCTGGTGCCTCCAGCTCCACGAGTTCATGTTGGTTCAGATGTGATGGGGACTGTGGTACTCCTGAAAACTCTGATACTCTGATGTAGGAGCTGGAGTCTCATCCTGATTGGACACTGTGTCACTGTGACTCCCTCCTTCTGATTCTCTGGGTTTGTGACGTCGTCATGTGACGATATTGTGGAAAACAGTTTAAACAAACCACAGACAAAGGGGAAACAGCCAAGATACAAATACTGCACAGAACAGACTCACCATCAGCAGAACACCCCTCTGTCACAGAGAGAACACCCCTCTGTCACACAGAGAGAACACCCCTCTGTCACAGAGAGAACACCCCTCTGTCACAGAGAGAACACCCCTCTGTCACAGAGAGAGAACACCCCTCTGACACAGAGAGAACACCCCTCTGTCACAGAGAGAACACCCTCTGTCACAGAGAGAACACCCCTCTGTCACAGAGAGAACACCCCTCTGTCACAGAGAGAACACCCCTCTGTCACAGAGAGAACACCCCTCTGTCACACAGAGAGAACACCCCTCTGTCACAGAGAGAACACCCCTCTGACACAGAGAGAACACCCCTCTGTCACAGAGAGAACACCCCTCTGTCACAGAGAGAACACCCCTCTGACACAGAGAGAACACCCCTCTGTCACAGACAGAACACTCAGATTCCACTGAGTCATGAACTTTAGTCTGACAGAAGCTGAACTACATCAGCGCACAAAGAGCTGTTTCTTGAGTGCTTAGTTTATGCAAACGAGTCATGTGGTTTTAAGTTTTGTTTCTATAAAACGTAAACAAATATGCTCAAAGCTGTGCGGACAGAGAAGACTTGCGGACACAGAAACAACGTGTCTGGACGCAAATTGTTTCTGATACGGTGATTCATTTAAAAAATAATAATAAAAGCACAACAAAATTAACTAGTCAGCAAACTGAATTGTCATGACATTTGTGGATTCAGAAACTCACAAGAGTCCACCTGGCTCCCGCTGCTGTACTGCCTGATTTACCAGTGGTTCTGACCACTCACAAAGCAGCACTATGGTGTGGGCGGAGCCAGAGTGAAACACCCAAAATGAACCAAAACAAACATGGCCATGACGTGACTGATTTTCTTTCTTTCTTGAATGTTTTCCGCAAAACCGTCACAGATATTTAGAAACTGTCCTGCAGTCGTCCCGTCCCTGACCGTCACCTCCTGAACGTCACGACTCAAACCACAGCTGCGCCTGTGCCGTAAAAATAAAAGGAAAATCACTTGTTTCTCTGTACCTCAAACGTGTGGTCGAGCCTGTACACGGGGACAGAGTTGATGGCGCTGACGACCTCCAAAACTCCATTGAAATTGTTGAGCTCCTGAAAAACCTGCAGAATCTCGATGATCCGAGTCATGACGGCCACGCGCTCCTCCAGGTTCATCATCTCCACGATACACCTGCAAAAAACCAAGAACTTTAAACATCCCCACGATACACCTACAACTGACAAGAACTTTATCATCAACAAATACTAGGACTGAAATAGAGCTCCAGCATTAACCCAAGCAGCAGAAATATAAGATAAGAGTATTATAGAGTATAAGAGTAGGCTGAGCGATATGAGCTTAAAAAAAAAAAAAGAATAAAATTTTCCCCATATTGATCGACCTTAATTTTCGATTCGATCTTGTTCAGTCTTAATAAAAACATAGACATACTTCAGGCATAAAGAGCAGGGGGTCAGGATCACCAAGTGCTTTTTCCTAAACAAGAGCGTAAACCTCGTCAGCTCCACGCTCTCTCTCTACCACATGATCGGCTGTTGACCTGACGATTAAAATGCACTCGCTTTTGTGATGGAAAATTATATTGTGTAAAGATTTCTCTCAGTTTGTCTTTGTGTAAATGAATGTGATTTCTACCTGAGACCCAGAGCAGTCATTAACGCGTGTAAAGGATCAGCAGACACAAGTATCTCCACACCCCTCAGGAAACTCTTTGTCGTCTTATTTGTCCTTAAATGTAAGTTAAATTAAGCCTGTGAAACAAGTGTCACTTTGCTTTGATATGTATGTTACTGTATTTTTGTATAATACTCAGATGCTGTGGGGGAGAGACTCGGGTCTAATGTGGTGGGGACACACTGCTGGAGAGGAGAGGCTGTTGGTCTGTGGTCAGGGCAGGTCTAAGCTCTGTCCATATCTGCTGTAACAAGAACAATAAACCTTGGTCTGTATTACAAAAACTCATCGGGCTTCACAAATGGATTCATTACTTATCGTCAAGAGATATATAATTTTTTCCACAACACCTTATCGTCGAGATTGACCACAGTACAGATCATGATATATCGCTTTTATGATTTTTGGCGCAGCGTATAAGAGTATAGAGTATAAAGAGTATAGAGTATAAAGAGCATATAGAGTATAAAGTGTATAGAGTATAAAGAGTATATAGAGTATAAAGAGTATAGAGTATAAAGAGTATAGAGTATGAAGAGCACAGAGTATAAAGAGTATAGAGTATAAAGAGTATATAGAGTATAAAGAGTATAAAGAGTATAAAGAGTATATAGAGTATAAAGTGTATAGAGTATAAAGAGCATAGAGTATAAAGTGTAAGAGTATATAGAGTATAAAGAGTATAGAGTATAAGAGTATAGAGTATATAGAGTATAGAGTATAAAGAGTATAGAGTATAAAGAGTATATAGAGTATAAAGAGTATAGAGTATAAAGAGTATCTAGAGTAGTATCCTGCTGCAAAGGTTCCAAATGTAACTAGAGTTCTCTGAACTCACTTCTCAAACCACAGCGTGAGGTTGGTGGTGTGGCGGATCATTCGGAGCAGATTCGGAGAGTTCTTCTCTTTGTCTTCTTTGGTCCAAACGCTGCCGACCAGTTCTGAGGGACGCACGGCTCTGAGGAGAAGAAGAGGAGGATGTGAGTTTAAGTGATAATGAGAAGAATAACTCACACTCAGCACACAAACATGTTCTATGTTCTAGTAACTGGAAGAGTTGTGGGTATATCAACACTACAAAATACAAAATATGCCAGTCTTTCTGAAGGTGGTCAGGACTTGGACGGGACCCGGCTGGAAATATCATGTGCTACTGTGGGGCAGCATTGGTGTATAATGGAACCTGTTGTTGTGTCCTTAAGCAGTACACTTCACCCTCATTCCCTTCTATAACTGCAGTGTGAGTGTTTGTGTGTTTGTGGTCGGACGGGCAGAAGGCGTACAGAACCTTTCGATTAACACTTGATGTAAAACACAAACTGTTTTCTCTCGGGGTTAAAGCTCATGTTCCCGCAGAGTCCGGCCGCAGTTTCTCCCCTCACCTGTAGAGCTCAGACTCGAGCAGGGTGAGCTGGCGTGCGATCTCGATGGGGTGCAGCGTGAGCAGGTCGAAGGCGTCGCTCTGGCCGGCGCGGCACAGGTGCCACTCGATGGGAGGGGGCGGGCTCTCGAACGTGATGTTGTGGCTCACGCCGTTGGACTGAGTCTGCAACTTCCTCTTGATGATTTTATTAATGGACTCCACCCACTTCCTCATGGACTTCCCTACAGGAAATAAATAAAAATAAATAAATAAAAACATTTATATTGAGTTTGATGTGATGAAACAAGAGAGATTTGTGTAATTACATCAGAATTTTACAAAAGGAAATGTATGACTACATTAAGAAGAAAAAATGCCTAAAATTATCTGAGGAAAAAAACAAAAACCTAGATTCCCAACAAAAGGACCAGGTCTAATGTAAAGAAAACCAGGACTTAGCTAGATCTGAACCAGGACTAAAACAGGACTAAACAAGAACCCCAGACCATAAACCTCAAATCTTAACTAGTGAAAAATCATTAGGGATTGGACCAGACCTAAAGCAGGTCCAAACTAGGACTAAAGCAGGACTAAAAACTACCCCCGGACCAGGACTAAACCAGGATTTAACCAGTGCTAAGTGAGAACTTAACCAGGTCTAAACCAGGACTAAACCAGGACTAAACTAGGACTAAACCAAGACTCCAACGAGATCCTAAACTACGGGCTCAGGTAGGACCAAAACTGGGAATTGAACAAGGACTAAACTGGTTTAAAACCAGTTCAAAACCAAGTCAAAACCAGGACTAAACCAGGACTAAACCAAGTCTAAACCAGGTCAATACCAAGTCTACACCAGGACTAAACCAGGACTAAACCAGGTCTAAACTAGGTCTAAAACCAGGTCTAAACCAGGTCTAAAACATGTCTAAACCAGGTCTAAACCAGGACTAAACCCAGGTCCACAAAAACAGACCTCTGAGTTGTATTTTGCTGGTGATGTACTCCTCGAGTCGGCTCCGAAGCTCCGGATCGTTTTCAAAATCGTAAAAATGATGTTCCACCCACTGTCGGAAAACATTCAGGACTCTGCCACAAACAACACACAAAAAAAAACCAAAAACAGAATTCACTTAAATTTTTAATCTCAATTTGTCATTTCCCACGCATTTGCACAATTTCTTAACATAACATGCTCCACTTTTAAATAACTTGTTTTATGGTTGTTTAAAACCTTCGTGCCAAGATTAGAACGCAACAAATCTCTGCTCTCGTTAGACTTTTCCACGTTTTTATCCTGAAGTGAACTTTTAAGAGGACACTTGGTTTAATCGAGTCAAAATAAACCGTAAATCTTTCACGAGACCACCCAAGAGTTTCCACGGACTTTGGGAATACGAGCTGGAGAAATATTTCTGAAGAATTCTCTATTACTACTGAGTTTTGGGGTTTTTTGGCTTGAAATGAGTCGATGAGGTAACTGGACAAAGTAATAAATACAAAAGAGTCAAAACACAGCGCCCCCTACCTGCAATTCTCTTTATATTGGGGACGCAACTCAGGATTTTAGCAGTCGATTAGTCAAACGATAATTTTTACTGTACTTCTTAATGTTTTTATTGTTATATTTTGACATTGTGCTTTAATAATGCCACAGTTTTTTTTGTTATAGATATTTTGGAATGTGTTTTATTTATTCAGGTCTGTAATGTCCAGTAAACGATTACGATTATTTGAAGAGTATTATTATTATAGATTATTCGATTAATCGTCTCAGTCTTATTTTTTATAATGACTAAATAACTCTGTGTTTGCTTTTATTGTATCGGAGACTTTTAATCTCTTAATGGATTATGTTTACATTAGAGATCGACTGATTCAGGATTATTCCAAGGCCGATATCGATAAACTCAGTGGATATTTTTGGTCCGATATATAGATTTTGCAGATTTTGATTATTCTCCTCCATTATCTAATTTCTGCTCACAAACCTTTTACAAACCTGTGTGCTCACGTTGTCTCTTTGCACTTAAGTGTTCAAATAAAAAGCTTTGTGTGTGTTCTTTAAATAAAACATAAAACCTGCGCTTGAGTTTTAAAGCTGAGAGTCGATAAAAAGGACAAATGTATTAAAACTGATAAATCTCTAGTTCACATAGAGACACTTCTGTTGTGTCTTTTCACCTTTCGAACTTGCCGAGAACAGATTTAGACTGCATTCTGATTCAGTGAGTCGTTTATACAAGAGTCTGTATCCGAGTCTATATCAGAGTCTAAATGTAGTACCTGAATAAGAGTAAATATTGTGTACTTGTCTATACTGTACACTTGTGTAAATAAAATACTTGTGTTGTACCTGAATAAGAGTATATATAGTACACTTGTATAAAAAGTAGTGATGTAAAAATAACCAAAATATTGTGATATCGTATCATCGAGTCTCATAATAATATTGTGGGATGTCACAGTAAATCGAATTACAAGTTCCTTTGCTTAAATGCATGTTTTTTTTATAGAAGCAACAGTTTATAAACATAAGGAACTACATTTCCCATGATCCATTTCAGTGCAGACAACATGAAGAAATATATTTTTTACTTGAATTCTTAGGATTATGGCAGCAATAATTCACACCAAAATCTTTTCAAGGTATTTTAAAAGCAAAAAAAAAGTCCTATTTACAATTATACCAGCCTCTTCAAAATATCTCAATAAAAATCTTACCGAGAGATTTGGATATCGTTACAGCCCTAATATATAGTATACTTGTGTAGTACCTGAATAAGAGTATATATAGTATACTTGTGTAGTACCTGAATAAGAGTATATATAGTATACTTGTGTAGTACCTGAATAAGAGTATATATAGTATACTTGTGTAGTACCTGAATAAGAGTATATATAGTATACTTGTGTAGTACCTGAATAAGAGTATATATAGTATACTTGTGTAGTACCTGAATAAGAGTATATATAGTATACTTGTGTAGTACCTGAATAAGAGTATATATAGTATACTTGTGTAGTACTGAATAAGTAGTATATAGTATACTTGTGTAGTACCTGAATAAGAGTATATATAGTATACTTGTGTAGTACCTGAATAAGAGTATATATAGTATACTTGTGTAGTACCTGAATAAGAGTATATATAGTATACTTGTGTAGTACCTGAGCTGTACTGGTTGTACATATTCCTTCCTGAATCTCTGCAGTTCCGCGGCCATGGGCTGGTCTCCGTTCCACAGAGCCTGTCGGTCCTCCTCTGTCGGCTCCGGCTCTGGAATCTCAATCCTGAGACGAAAACAAACGATTCAAAATACACGTGGAAGGTATTTAACATTACATTTTCACAGGTGTAAAAAAATACACGTGGAGGGTTTGTCATGATTACACACTTTAAAAAGGCAGAAATAATGCTGTACAAAAGATCAAACCCTTTTCTAAAAGTGAAATATTGTTTAAAAAAAACATAGAGCAGCACTCAATTAGAATTTAACCAGGACTAAACCAGGTCTAAGCCAGGACTAAACCAAGACCCTAAACTACAGGCTCAGATAGGACAAAAACACTGGGGATTGAACAAGGACTAGACCAGGACTAGACCAGGACTAGACCAGGACTAGACCAGGACTAGACCAGGACTAGACCAGGACTAAACCAGGACTAACCAGGAACAGTGGCAAGAAATATTTTAATGAAACACCTTGTCAGTTAATTAGTGGCAATAACAAGTCATAAAAAAATCTAATTTCACTCTCTGCAGTTCAAATTCATTGTAAAATAAAAATGTCCCCACAAGAAAATAAGAATAAAGTGAAACAGGTAAATGTAAAGCGTGTACCTGTCTATTAGAAGAGTGAGGAGCTCCTGTGGTTTACAGAAGGACCGGTACGTGGTGAGAAAGGTCCGCACGAAGTTTGGGTCTAAAGAAAAAAACAGCAAAAAAATAATAATGAGACAAAATAAGAAAGTTAAGGCATAAAGAGTACCTGTAAAAACAAGTTATTTATGGCAATGTTTCTTGAATTTGACACAAAAATTCTTGAACATTATTACAAGTTCAGTGTTCTGATTCTTCACACTAAAATCCCTATTTATTTTATATTAAACACTCTTTAAATTACTAAATTGTATACAAAACAGAAGCAAATTATCAAACATGCATAATATAACTGCCTAAAATGAGATGAGATTTTCTGTTTGTTAAAATAAACTATTTTTTAAAAGTCCTGTATCTCATTAAACTGATTCTTGGGAGATTTGAGTCATGTTCTAACGTTTCCTCCTCAAAAACAGAGCTGCAGTTGTGTTTTGTTTCATTCACACATGTTTGAGTAACTCTGCATTATTATTTTATTTTATTTGACCTTTATTTAACCAAGATCGTCCCGCTGAGATTTAGAATCTCTTTGTCAGGCGACTCCTGGCCCCACAGAAGACCCCCCTGTACATGTTCAGTGTACGGATGTGCAAAAATATCTAAATATCGATATATCGTATCGTTTAATGTGATGATCCAATATCAATATCAGAAGTGGGACCAAGTCGTTGTTTTGCAAATTTCAAGTAAGTCACTGACCTTCACGTCAAAGTCGAGTCCCAAGTCTTAGTCCATTTTATCAAGTCAAGTCTCAAGTCCCAAAAATAGTGACTCAAGTCTGACTCGAGTCCAAGTCCCACCTCTGATCGACATCGTGGGCTGCTGGATCGCCAAGAGGATTTTTTGGTATATTTACTACAGTTTTGTTGCTTGTTCAGTAGGAGGAAACTCATTTATGCGACACATTGAATAAATGTTTGTGTTTCTTATGAACTTTGCACAAGAAGTGATTTAACAAAGACTTTTAGTATCACAGACATGATTTAGACTTTATTTTTTACTGAACCGCATCGAATTGATTTGAAATATATCGAAAGTGCACTGTATCGAGGTCTGTATCGTATCGGTAACTTCTGAATGATACCAGCTCTAGTTCAGTGATAGGACAAACCAGAGCACACAGAAGAAACCTACACAGGCACAGGAAGAACATGCAAACTGCACAGCGAAAGGTCCACAATCAAACCCAAGACCTTCTCAGAGCGAGGCGAGAGCTCTACCCGCTCTGCCACCGTGCCACCGTTACTCTGTCTACATCTCCAGAGCTCTAAACGCTCTGTTCCACCTCGTGATGTCATGAGGTGGTAGTTTTCAAGTGAACAGCTCCTTTTAGCTTTAGTTCAGTCGAGATTTACAATTCCAAAGTTGAAGAGCTCAGGGTAAATGTGCAGGTTTGCGCGTTTAAACGTGTGAATGAAACAAAACACAACTCCAGGTGTGTGTGTGACGAGGAAACCGCATTAAAACACACATCAGAGATCAGTGTGACACGGGCCTTGAGTGTGACACGGGCCTTGAGTGTGACACGGGCCTTGAGTGTGACACGGGCCTTGAGTGTGACACGGGCCTTGAGTGTGACACGGGCCTTTAGGTTCTACGAGGCGACGGCTGCTGTGATTTTGTCCCATACAAAAATAAATTGCATCGGGGGGAAAAAAAAAAAAAGTTTCAGAGCAGTAACTTCATTGCAAACACCAAACTTCCAGGGAACAATCATGTCCTCATTAAGAAGTGAACTGAGTGAGTGTTTAGCTCCAGTCAAATGAAGCTCACAGAGGCCAGCAGTTACAGGAGGGGAGTTAGCGCCAGGTCCATATCAGGAACAGGAATTTTTTTATAGACAAAATAGAAAAAGAAAACACCAGGATCTGAAAATTGTTAATAAAGTTTGTTTGTCTTCTCTGTCGTCGCCTCCGCCTCCCTGATTTTGTTCGCTCGTGTCTCATTCACTCCTCACCATCGCCGTCAAAGCTGAAAGTTGGTGCCAGTGAAAAACTTCTAGTGCCACAAAACTTTTCCACCATTTACAGACAAAACCAACAGCAGCACATCCTCATGTTCCACTGAGTCGTGTCCTTTAGCCCGAAAGATGCTGAACCGCATGAAGCGGCTCTTTGAGTGGCGCAAGGAGTGTGCTGTTTATGCAAATGAGCCATGAACTTTTAAGTTTAGTTTCTGTAAAAACACTGTAAACACGTGTGGCGAAACTGAATTAAACACATGATTATGTCAAACGGCTGATGTGACTCTAGAGTTGTTGTGCTTTAAATGTTGTAAAGTTTAGTCATGTAAAGTTTATTTATGTAGAAGATTTTAATTAATAATCTGCTGCAGTGTCACTTGTTCAACAGTGTTTGAATCGTTGGGTTTGATCTGCAGTGGATTGTGGGATTAAACCTCAGATCCTGACGCTGGAACATGGATCTGTTAAAATAATGAACCTCCTGAGTTTCTTCTGCTGAAGGAGCTCATGGTTCTGGTTCTGGTCTGGAGAACAGAGTTAATGCAAAGATGAGCTTGTGTTGAGTTGTTTTATTTATGAATGAAAAGAAGGAAATATGTTTTATTTCTTTTATTTTACAGTTAAATGATTATTTATGTAATTAGGGTTTTTGTAATCTTAAATGTTCCTGTATGAACTGTCGACCTCTTACACTTCAATTAAAAAAGACATTGTGGAATTTGGCAGATTTGTTTTTGAAGTTTTATTATTTAGTATTTATTATTTTTTCTTGTACAGATATCGATATATATCGTATATCGAGATATAACAAAATATATCGAGATATATTTTTTGATCCATGTTGCCCAGACCTATTGATTATGAAGACTGTCAAAATCTCGTTTTGTGGAAATCTCGTCCCGCCCCAGTAACACCGTAAAACCAAACGACTCTCTGAGTGCAGCACCTGTCGGCGTTCTTACCTGCGTACATGTGGTAGGTGAGCCTCTCGATCAGTTTGACCACCGTCCCCGCCTTGATGATGGGGATCCCAGTTTTGCTCTGGACTTTATCTTCAAACACGATATTTTCCTCGCTGTCCTGTACCGCGAACATATAAATCTCTGGCGAGGGCAGCCTGAGAGGGTGGGCCTGCTCCTCGTGCTGCAGCACCGTGTCCAGCATCCGGTCTAACGTAGATCGATACTGTAAGGTCACCAGCGCCGCCATCCACGCCGCCTTCTCCTCCGCCGTCCGCGCACAAAACACCGCGCAGTTTTCGTCCTTCCCGACCAGTTCGAACGCGTGCTTAAGCTCCGTCGTGTCCTCCCTGTCTACAATTCGGATTTTTCGTAACACAAATTTCTCCTTGAGTCGGTATTCGGCGCCGCTTCCCGACCCAGGCAGCCGCGAGCTCTGGTTGGCCTTGCAGCTGATCATGAGGCCGTCGAACAGGAAGTTGTGGCGTTCGTGTTTGGCGCCGGCGCGGATCAGGGCCCCCTCCAGGATGAACTCGCTGCAGCACTGGCCGATGTCTTTGCCCTCCCAGCCGTCGATGCTCTTCTGGATCTCGTTCATGCGTTTGATGGCGAGCTGTTTGGAGCGCACCTGACGACTGTACAGGCGATACATGGGCTCCCTGAAAGAAGAGAAGAAGAAAAGAAGAAGAAGAAGAGGAAGAGGGATCAGTCATTTATTTATTTAATGTGTTTTTACTGTTATGGATGTGAGAATGTGTTTGTATTTATTCATTTTTACTGCTGCGGTTTTGATCTATCGAGGTTTCGTTGTGTTTTTCTCACTAAAGCTTTAAAACGGCTGTTGTTCTGGAACGACTGACCTTTTTTCTACGTCTCAAAAGGACATTTCTTCATTAAACAAGAGACTTGAGACTGTATTCTTATAACAACAGAACAGTGCTCCAGGTTTTTGTCATTATGTTTTTGTATTTATTTGTTTGTTTCTCTAAACTTGAAAAACTGAATAAATAAAAAGTATTAAAAAAAACATTTAAAAAAAACAGCTGTTGTTCAGTGGTCAAATGTGTCACCTGATCCAGTCTCGTTGTGCAGGTGGATCTGGTTGCAACCAACTTTTTGTAATTCTCTTTTTAGATGCAGTTAGAACAATTTTTGTCAGATACATGTCGTCCTTCCTTACTACATCTGATATATCTCCCAATTACATCACAGGATTATAGTTTTGAACATTCTAAATCCTGTCAGTGCATTTACTGTCGTCTCTTTTAAACAAAAGACTTAGATGTTCACAAATAATCAGAACAGCCTCATGAGAACTGAACAGAACACTGGAGCCAAGGGAAAGAGATACTAAAATTCCATGCGACTGCTAAAATGAGCAGGTCTCTGGCATTTTTGTTTTGTACAAGAACTCAGCAAAGGAAAAAGGTTGGAGACCCCTGTACTAAATGGACTCTTGTGAGCTTTAAGCCACGTTCTGATGTTGTTCCGTCCTCAAAAACAGAGCTGGAGTTGTGTTTCGTTAGCTCCTGGTCTGTGTGTGCCGAGGAAACAACATGAAAACGCCTGTGCTATGTTGTTTCTGTTTTAAAGTACAGACCCGGGTTTGCGTCGCGGTTGGTGTTTGGCGTAGATTCGGTCCACGCTGCACTGCAGGTTCAGGAGCGCGGTGATGGCCTGTTTCAGACACTCGCGGTCGTCCTCGTCCTCACTGCGCTCCTGGAGTTGCTGCAAAAACGCAATAAAAGAAAATAAATAAAAACATACTTATAAATTCTGAGCTTAAAATGCAAAAACCAGAGTGTGACGTATGATCCGTACCTGTAGAAGCTCAAAGTAGTGCATGCAGTGATAGACGGGGACCATCATGAGCTGAGGGAGGACGTACTGCACGGCCTCTTTAAACCCCTCCGCCACAGACTGAAACACACACAAAACACTCAATAATGTACAATAAAATACAATAAAATACAATAAAATACAATACAAAAAGAGATGTAACTATATCGGAAATCTCTTGGTACGATATTTTCATGATCAAAATCTCGAGAATGGAAAGTAATTTGTTTCATCAGATTTTGAATTCGAACGCCCATTGAATTTTTTTAACTCTGAAAAAACACGTTTGCTTTATTTTTATTTTGGATGTCAGCTGATTGTGAAGTGAAAATTATTACACTGATAAAAAATTCACCTTTTAAATATTCAGCACAAATATTTTCAAGACCTCGAGTCAAAATTCCGAGTGGAAAATTCACAGTGGAAAAAATTTTCAGGGAAGAGCCAAGATGCAAAGGCAGAAGCAATGATTAAATGATATGATTAGAATTCAGAATAAAAATAATTCAAACATCTTTTTTTACAGTGATTTAAAATTCTAAATCTGATGGAACTAATTATATTTGTGCCACAAGATCTAGTGAGACAAAATTGACGTGAGTTTACGCACACACGAGAAAAATGATCTCGCATTTTTTTTCTCCATCTGTTTAATTTTGGATTTGACAAAAAAGGGTAAAAGTACATTTACATTAAACCAGAACTTAACCAGGACTAAAAACTAAACTAAACCAGCACTTACAAAGGAAACTAAAACAGGACTAAACTAGAACTTAACCAGGACTCATGGGGAGACAGAAATAGGACTAAACCAGGACTAAAGCAGGACTAAAGCAGGGACTAAAGCAGGGACTAAACCAGGACTACACCAGAACTTATGAGGAGACAAAAACAGGACTAAAACAGGACTTAACCAGAACTCATGAGGACGACTAAAACAGGACTAAACCAGTACTAAACTAGGACTAAATCAGGACTCACAGAGGAAACTAAAACAGAATTAAATAAGAACTTAACCAAGACTCATAAAGAGACTAAAACAAGACTAAAATAGGATTAAACCAGGAGTGAACCAGGATTAAACCAAGACTAAACCAGGACTCAGAGAAAATTAAACAGGACTAAACCAGAACTTCACCAGGACTCATGAGGAGACTAACATAAGACCGAACCAGGACTAAACCGAGACTAAACCAGGACTCACAAAGGAAAACTAAAACACGACTGAACCAGAACTTAACCAGGATTTATAAGGAGACTAAATCAGAACTAAACCAGGACTAAACCAGATAAAAGTACATTTCATAAGATGTTGTAGTTTTAATTAGCAGCAAAATAAAATAAAATAAATCAAAATGGACCAAAACTGAACTGAGCTGCACTTTTTTTTTATAATAAATTAGATAAAAATCTCGTCGGGTCTCGTTCTCGTGGACTAAAACTCGTATCTCGTCTCATCTTGTGGAAATTGCATCACTCAGTTCGATATTTATTGCAATATTTTGTGGAGCAGACTGAGCAGAAACGCAGCAAAGGATCATGGTCTATGTAGTTCCCTGTGTTTTTTTATCTCCAGAGTGTTTGTGACGTGGAAACGACAGCAGGACGGGTCAGAGAAAAGTGAAATGTTGTGGCTTTAACACGTGTCGCTCTGAAACACAAAAGTGTCCGTCTCCCGGGTGACGAGGGAGAATCAGATCAGACAAAAGGCGAGACCACCGCGACGAAGAGGAAACCGGAGACGACTCGGTCACGGTTTAAAACTCCTGCTCCCCCCGACACAAGAGGCTCCGATCAATACAGAGAACTCAGACTGGACCAGGACTGGACCAGGACTGGACCAGGACTGGACCAGGACTAAACCAGGACTGAACCAGGACTGAACCAGGACTGAACCAGGACTAAAACTGAACCAGGACTCAACCAGGACTCAACCAGGACTCAATCAGGACTGAAACAGGTCTGAACCAAGACTAAAACAGGAATAAATCAGGACTAAATCGGGACTAAAACAGGACTAAAACCAGGACTAAAAAACAGGATTCACAAAGAAGGTTAAATCAGGATGAAACCAGAACCTAACCAGGTCTTAACCAGAACTAAAACAGGATTAAACCAGGATTAAACTGGGATTAAACCAAGACTAAAGCAGGACTAAACTGGGACTGAACTCGGGAGCAGTGAGACCTTTAACTCGCAGTTAAACCAGCACAAAACAGCACAAAATTAAACGTAATTGGAACAAATTAGGAAATAAAAGACAAGGACTAAACCAGGACTAAATCAGGAGTAAACCAGGACTAAAGGGGGAGGAGGGCGGGAGAGGGACTTTTTGAGCAGACAGGGAGGGGGGTCGGGGGGTGGGGGGGTGATGGACTGAACGATGACCTAAGTTTAGATCATGTTTTTGGTGCGTCAGCGTCCTCAGAGAAAAGAGGAGAGAGGAGGAGAGGAGAGGAAAGAGGAGAGAGGAGGGGGGACAAGAGAAGAGAGGAGAGAGGAGAGTTGAGGAGAGGAAAGAGGAGAGGAGAGAGGAGAGGAGAGGAAAGGGGAGAGAGGAGAGGAGAGGAGAGGAGAGAGAGAGAGAGAGAGGAGAGGAGAGAGAGGAGAGAGAGGAGAGAGGAGAGAGAGGAGAGAGAGGAGAGAGAGAGAGAGAGAGGAGAGAGAGAGGAGAGAGGAGAGAGAGAGAGAGAGGAGAGAGAGAGGAGAGGAGAGGAGAGGAAAGAGGAGAGAGGAGAGTTGAGGAGAGAGAGAGAGAGAGAGAGGAGAGGAGAGAGAGAGAGAGAGAGGAGAGGAGAGAGAGAGGAGAGAGGAGAGGAGAGAGGAGAGAGGAGAGAGAGAGGAGAGGAGAGAGGAGGGGGGACAAGAGAAGAGAGGAGGAGAGGAGAGGAAACTGTGGTGTCCAACGGAGCTGATGGGGCCGTAAATATCATGACAACAAAGCGACACATGGACCAAACCAGGACTAAACCAGGACTAAACCAGGACCAAACCGGGTCTAAACCAGGACTGAACCAGGACTGAACCGGGACTGAACCAGGACTGAACCAGGACTAAACCAGACTGTGGGCTCCTCTTAGCTGCACATCACACTAGAGCAGAGTTTTTTTTTTTAATTTGGACCAATTTGAGGATTATTTTTCCTGTTACAGATATTGAGATATATTTCGTATAAATCAAGATTTAGCTAAAATATATCAGGATGTATTTTTGCTCCGTGCCGCCCGGCCCTTCTTCAGAGGAGCCAGAGCAGCTTCAGAGCCGTGTAAATGTCCTTATATGATCCGCGCGGAGCAGAGCTGTCTGAGACGTGATTAAATTAGCGTCGGCCATAAACAAATACGAGAGGAGGAAAGTGCGAGTGTCTGCAGCTCTGCACACGCTGACGATTCACAACACGTCTGGAACAAAACAACCGAGAAAAAACGAGAAACTGGACGGGAGACGCACGGTTCAATCTCTCCGTCTCAAATTTACATTTTTAATCGTTCAGTTTGTTCAAAAAGACAAATCTGATGCACTGAGGGTTTGAAAAAAATATCAAAAATCAAATATGAATCAAAACTAAAGCTAATATCAAAATTACAAACTCATTAGAGGACCAGGACTAAACCAAGACTAAACCAAGACTAAACCAGGACTAAACCAAGACTAAACCAAGACTAAACTAAGACAAAACCAGGACAAAACCAGGACCAGGACTAAACCAGGACTAAACCAGGACCAGGACAAAACCAGGACAAAACCAGGACTAAACCAGGACTAAACCAGGACAAAACCAGGTCTAAACCAGGACCAGGACAAGACCAGGACTAAACCAGGTCTAAACCAGGACCAGGACAAGACCAGGACAAAACCAGGACAAAACCAGGACAAAACCAGGACCAAACCAGGACTAAACCAGAACCAAACCAGGACCAGGACTAAACCTTAACCAGGACTAAACTAGGATCAGAACTAAGCCAGGATCCGGACTAAACCAGAACTAAACGAAGACCAGGACTAAACCACTACCAAATAAGACCAGGACCAAAGAGGATCAGGACTAAACCAGGACCAGGACTAAACCAGGATTAAACCAGGATTAAACCAGAACCACAGAAGACCAGGACCAAAGAGGATCAGGACTAAACCAGAACCAGGACCAGGACTAAACCAGGACTAAACCAGGACCAAAGAGGATCAGAACTAAACCAGGGCTGAGGACTAAACCAGGTTCACATTAAAACCGGCAGGAATTACACTGTTTAAGTGACGTAAATGTAAAAGTTTGTTTGTTTTAACTTCAGGTTAAGGTCAAAATAGTTCAGATTTAAACTTTTTTTTTTTTTTTTTTACAGTATTTGACAGATTTACAGTCACATTTTTGATCACTTCAGATTTTTGGAAACCTACAGGAGAATAATGATCGTATTTCAACATTTTCAGCGTTCTAAACTACAGGGTTCGTGTTTGAAGGACAGTTTTATTCATTATAATAAAAAAGTTTGACCCGAGTCTGTGTTCGTGTTCCTCACCTGAAAGTAGAGTCCGACTGTGGGCCGGGACATCAGGTTGTTGAAGTGTTCGTGAAAGTCTTTACTGAGGATGTCCTGGGATAAGGTCTCGTACGGGTCGAACGCCTGCTCCTAAAAACACAAAAAAACAAACAGACGTCGCTGATCAAAGTCAAAGTCTGCTGCTCATCTGGTCCCTCAGACGACTCGGTTTAAGAAGAATGTGACTGAGCTCGGCTGACGCTCCCACAAACACCGGCATTTCTAAGTTCACACTCTTGAATGTCAGACACTTCTTCTTTGTACTTTTTATTAAATATAAGTCAAATCATAAATGTTGAACCTAAATCACCAATAAAATTTTGAAAAAGTAAAAGTAAGAACAACAATTTGACAAATGATTATGAATCCGTGGATCATTCGTTCATTCGTTTTTCAAAATAAAACCAAAAATAAGAAATTGAAAAAAAAAAAAAACTAATTTCTTCATTATTTGTCTCCAAAACCAAAATGAAAAAAATAGATAATGATTCGTTTTTTAAGTTTTCAATTTTGTGTTTAAATTAAAAATGGAAAAAAACGGATAAATGCCGTTTCCCGTTTCTGAAACAAGACTAAAACAGGTGCTGGTTTAGGACTGAGACCAGGACGAGGACCGAGACCAGACCAGGACCAGACCAGGTTTAGTCCTATTTTAGTCCTGGTTCAGTCCGGCCTCGCAGTTTAAGTCACGGAAACGGGAAACATGACATTACATTATTGTTATTATTATTTGTATACTTTATTATTTTATATTTTTTAATATAATTTATGATTATGATTTACCTCGGCCAGGTCTTCGAAGCAGCTCCCGACCAGAGGGTGTGGGCTCCCGTCGGCCGTCATCTCCACAGCGTCCTCGATCAGACCCAGCAGCTTCACCGTGAGCTCGTGGATGTCCAGGATGTTACTGAAGATCACCTCCACGTCCTGAGACACACACACGACGCAGGAGTCAAAACGACAGCGCCGACATTTACGGTATTATTTTATATATTTATACATAATGACTGTATAAAGACGTGGACTAAGGGAGTGTGTGAGCTCCGGAATGTGCAGAACGTTTAAAGTTTTATTTGAACACTTACAGACTATAAGACGTACTTAAAAATAATTTAATTTTCTCAAAAATCAGCAGTGCTCCTGATAATCCGGTGTATTCTGGCTGTGCTTACTGACCTCAAACCATTTTTATGTGATACACGGTGCTAAAAAATCTCTCAAAATGTTTTACTATGACTTCGGTAAACTGCGAGTCCGCTCCGCTTGATGGATTGTCAGAGTAATCCACATTCACCGAGACAGGGAGGCGACGCTGGGCGAGTTACGCCGCGATCTGCCGATGGATCATGGACGCCCGGGCTCAGGATCTCAAGTGTCGTCTGTAGGGCTGGGTATCATTAAGAAGTTTAGTATCACAGATACTAAAAGTGATTTAGCCTTTATTTTTTATTGAACTGTATAGAATCAATTTGAAATATATCATATCAAATCGAAAGTGCACTGTATCGAGGTATGTATTGTATCGTGGCCTGTGTATCGAGGTATGTATTGTATCGTGGCCTGTGTATCGAGGTATGTATCGTATCGGCAACTTCTTAATGATACCCAGCCCTAATCAAAACAGTGAAAATGTCAAATGTGTCGCATAAATGAGTTTCCTTTCACTCCACAAGCCACAAAACTGTAGCACTGTAACAAAATAATTTTGTAAAACACATGTAAAAATACACTTGCTGATATATCGATACAATAGCCCACAATATCGATACTGTATCATCACATTAAACGATACGATATATCGATATTCCGATATTTTTGCACACCCCTAGTCGTCTGAGCTTTCACGAAGGAACGAACCGTCCCTGAAGTAACAGCGACGAGACTGACTCCGATAACGTCGGGATCGATCCGGCCTCGATGGCGAAATCAGCCGACTCTTAAAGTCAGACACTGAAGATGAAGAATTTGATGGATTTGTGGAAGAGGAATGAACTGAAAAAGTGAGTGTGTTGTTTTGAATTTGATGTGTTATAACTAAACAATGTTGAGAGTTTTTGTGAATGAGTTGAATAAAGTTTGACTTGTCTGACTGTTTTGTTTCGCTTGATGCTTCTTATGATCCAGTGCGCCTTATAGTCCGAAAAATACAGTTCAGTCGTCCCTCATTATAACCTGGTTCACCTTTCGCAGCCTCACTGTTTTGTGGATTTTTTTTACTGCAATTTCGCATGCTTTTTTTATTTTAATTTTTAACAGCGTATGATCGTGCATTGTGTTCCTCCTCCTGTGTCCTGATTGGCTGTAGACCACTGTCAATCAATCTCCTCCGTGCCGTGTCTCCTGTACACTTCAGAATGTGTTCAGTTTGACAAATGTACATAAATGTTGGATCTGTATCAGTGTGACTATGAAGAGTTGTATGTTTGTTGAGTTTTCTCCACGACAAAACCCACAATGTCGACGAAACGTTCTGCAGTGACAAAGTCTCCTGCGCTCGAACCCAAAAGTCAGAGGAACATGTAACCATCTCACAAACAGGTGGACGTCTGGACACGCTGAAGGAAGAGAGAAGTTACACGACTGTAAAATTTATCTTCGGTTCCTTACATAAAGAAGGAAAATAACAAAAGGACGACAGCAGCAATAAGTTTTAAGAAGGATGCAAAAAAGATTGTAACTGTTCTGCGTAGGGATGGGCATGATTAGTTGATTAGTTGATTAATCGATAATTGATCATTGAGAATTTCATCAATTACGTTCATTTTAATGGACAAACCGAATGTATGTTTCTGTGTGTATCGTGACCAAACAGGTGTGTACATGTGTCTCTGCATCAGAAGGAGCGAGACACAAACAGTGGGTCAGTCTGTAACGAACCGAAGCACAAATGTGGATTTAACCAGGATTTGTACAAGAAATTCCACACTTTCCGTTGCGTTGGGACAAGTGTGAGTCCATGTGCACAGTGGATAAAGCAGCACATATGTTTCTGTGTCCAGTGGGAAAAAGTTTTTCCAGGTGAGAGTCGCTCAATGTGGATGACGAGGCCCCGCCCCCCTCCCCCCGTACGCTGTCCTGGTTTTGACAAACACAAATCTGGTCACACTGACCTGTATTCACCTGAGTCATGTCTTTTAATCCAACACAAGTTGAACCACATCAGCGACACAAGAGCTGGAGTTTTATCTTCACTTAGTTTATGTAAATTAGTGATGTGGTTTTAAGTTTTGTTTCTGTGAGATTTGAACAAAACTGAATTAAACACATTATAATGTCAAACAGCTGATGTGGATCTAGAGTCGTTATGTTTATATGTCGTAAAGTTGAATTTATTTATGCAGATTAGTGCAGATAGTAATAATAATGATGATCATTTTAATATAAAAACCTTAATGATTAATCAATAATCGATCGTTAATTCTCCCGACGATCGATTAAGAAAATTTAATCGAAGGCCCGTCCCTAGTCCTGTGTGAGAAAAGTGTACAAAGTTTGTGCTGAAGGGTTTTACAGCCTTAAAACCTACATAAAAATAAAGCTGACTACTTTGTGGATTTCGCCTATTGCGGGTTATTTTTAGAACATAACTCCCACGGTAAACGAGGGACACTGTACATGTAAAGAGACAGTCGCACTAAACACGACCACAGCTCTGTTAAAGGGTTGAGGGTAAAAACACGGCTGTCGGTAAGTTTGTAGTAGATTTAAATTTCAGAATTTGAGCAAAAATAATCAATATCAGCTCAAATTCTGAAACTAATCAATATCAACTCTACATATCGCCCTAAAAATATCAGTTGCGCTGGATTCTAAACACTCGATATCGAAATTGTCCATGAAAAAATATCGGTTGAGCTCTTCTTAAAGATCCGATATTACACAAAACTGACTCTTGTGAGCTTTAAGTCTTGTTCTAATGTTGTTTCCTCCTCAAAAACAGAGCTGGAGTTGTGTTTTGTTGGGGTTAAACACTCTGTTCCACCTCGTGATGTCATGAAGCAGTAGTTTTCAGGTTAATAGCTCCGCATTTTACCTTTAGTTCAGTAGAGATTGGCGTGGTGGAGTTTAAAAACACAGCGGAACACTTATTACTTGTGTTACTGCCAGTGTTGGGAAGTTTACTTTTAAAATGTATTCCCCTACAGATTACAGATTACATATCCCAAAATGTAGTTTGTAATCAATTAAATTACTTAAAGTGAGTAATGTAATCTGATTACTTTGGATTACTTGATTTGCTGTAGACAAACAAAGACTCAGACATCTTCACATAAGATGTTTTACCTGCTAAAAGAAAATGAAAAGGCCAAGTCTTTCCTTAACCGTATTAAAAGTGTTATTGATAGAAGACGAGGAGACATGGTTTAGTCCTGGTTTAGTCCTGGTTTAGACCTGGTTTAGACCTGGTTTAGACCTGGTTTAGTCCTGGTTTAGACCTGGTTTAGTCCTGGTTTAGTCCTGGTTTAGTCCTGGTTTAGTCCTGGTTTAGTCCTGGTTTAGTCCTGTTAAATCCTGTTTTAGTCCAGGTTTAGTCCAGGTTTAGTCCTGGTTTAGACCTGGTTTAGACCTGGTTTAGACCTGGTTTAGACCTGGTTTAGTCCTGGTTTAGACCTGGTTTAGTCCTGGTTTAGTCCTGGTTTTAGTCCTGGTTCAGACCTGGTTTGGACCTGGTTTTAGTCCTGGTTTTAGACCTGGTTTAGACCTGGTTTAGACCTGGTTTAGTCCTGGTTTTAGTCCTGGTTTAGTCCTGGTTTAGTCCTGTTAAATCCTGTTTTAGTCCAGGTTTAGTCCTGGTTTAGTCCTGGTTTAGACCTGGTTTAGACCTGGTTTAGACCTGGTTTTAGACCTGGTTTTAGTCCTGGTTTTAGTCCTGGTTTTAGTCCTGGTTTAGTCCTGGTTTAGACCTGGTGTAGACCTGGTTTAGACCTGGTTTAGACCTGGTTTAGTGTCCGACAATGAGTGGAATCACCGAAAAAATAAAAGAAAATAAAAAGGGAATAGCCTAAAATGTGAAAACAGGAAAATAATCCATTTATTTCAACAAAGTAACTGTAATCCAATTACCACTCACTGAAACAGTAACTGTAACTGAATACAGTTACTCATCATTTGTACTCTGATTACGTAACTCTGGTACATGTAATCTGTTACTCCCCAACACTGGTTACTGCATGACATCACGACGGGTTTGTGTGTTTAAAAATGTGTGAACGAACCAAAACACAACTCCAGGTCTGTTTGTGACGAGAAAACGACAACAGAACGTCAGAAAATCGAGTCATATCGGACCTTTAAAACGCTGCAAAGTTCACCTCCGTCCGTCAAACAGAAGTGATTCACAAAAACATGTTTACAAAGATCTGCTGCGGCCGACTCCCAAACTCCTTTTATAGATAAAAATATAAACTGTACAGAAATAGAACAGAGTCAAAAATAGTCCAGAGGAAATCATTATTCAGGCGGACGGACAGATAGACAACCCAAAATAGACGAGTGACAACGGGCTACACACACACACACACACACACACACACACACACACACACACACACGGCGGTGGCGGCGAGGTATGACTCCGAGCCGTGTTTTCAGCCGCGTTTCGACACAGATAATGAAGGGTATTTTGGCCGAAGATGTCTTGTGTCTCAACGTAATTACACCCTTTGCATTCCCTCGAAGGTTCTACCCTCCTCGACCCAAATCTCACCGCAAATTACCCAACCTCCAAATATGCAAAACTGAAGGAAACTCTCCACAAACAACGTCACATAAGGTTAGTTAGTAAAGACGGGAAATTACAGACCGATGTTGGCTGTCAAAACTCAAAAATCTTATATTAATCGATACTAAAACAGAAAAAAATGCTGAAACTAGAGAATCATTTTTGCAGGTATCGATACTAAAACAGTCACAGAAATGTTTGGTTTACGTTTTTCGCTTTTTTGGTTTTTCTTTTCATTTTATTCATTTTTATTTCGAGTTTGTGTCAAGAGAGAAACAATCATCATGTATATTGTAAAAACAGAAAAGTACATTTATCAAAAAGAAGCGAAAAGAAGAAAAACTTCAATTAATTCATCATGACATAGTTTAAAAAATTAGGCAGAATAACAATAAATGTTGCCTAAATAGGGCTGGGTATCATTAAGAAGACGCTGATCCGATACCTACCTCGATACGATACATGTCTCGATACAGTGCACTTTTGATTCGATATATTTCAAAGCAATTCAATACGGTTCAACAAAAAATATTGTCTAAATCACGGCTGTGACGCTAAAAGTCTTTGTTAAACAATTTCTTGGGCAAAGTTAATAAGAAAATCGCCCATTTTAATCCTCAAAAAAACAGTGAAAATGTAAAATGCGTCACATAAACGAATTTCCTTCCTCTGAACAAACAACAAAACTGGAACTGGAACAAAATAATTTTGTAAAATAAACAAAAAAATACTCTCAGATATATATCGATACAGCAGCCCACAATACCGATACTGTATCTTCTCATTAAACGATACGATATATTGATATTTTGATATTTTCGCACAGCCCTACGCCTAAACAAACCCAATTTAAGAAGAGAGCAAAGAGAGTAGAGCCGGACATTTGTTTTATAAGCAACTGAAGATTTACACTGAATTTTTACTAAATTACTAAATATATCGGCTTTTATAGGCGAGTTTCATTGTTGACAAAAGCGCGCGTTGCATGCTGGGAACTATTTTGGTCGGCGGCAATAAACACTAATTCAACAAGACGGTTATCATCCCAGTCATCCCGGTTATTTATCCACTCTAACGGCAGAGGACCCAAGACCATTTGACCAGAAATTGGTCATAAGCATCGACGGACAACAAATCACCCTTTTCAACCCCGACAGAGTCTGGACCAAACCAAATTTCTGGTCAGAATCTCCAACTACCTGGACAAATATTCACTTGGGCGACATCCACAATGACTTGGTGGAAACTCCTGGGCCATTCACAGCAGAAAAGATGAAAACCTCCAAGAGTCTGGATGTGTTGTTGAACTTGTTGAGTCCACGGTTTGTTAGGATCTTCTACGTTTGCTCTGCGGATGTTTGAAAGCCGCTTAATTCACCGTTAGTGGTTCTTTTCACTCAGAATACGAAAAAGACATTTTCCTTCTTCCGTGCTTCTATTTGTGCGTCCGATAATGCAGCAGGAATTTACCATCGGGGAGAAATACGCAAGGTTACGCACTGTGTTTGACGCTACCGTGTTTCTTGCCTCCGACCAAAATATTTTCCAGCAGCAACGCGGGCTTTTAATAACAATGACGTCAGCTCAAACTCGCCTATATGAGCAGCTCCAACTCCCATTTTATCTGTATCATATCGGCTGCAAAAAAATCCATATCGGTCAGGCCCTAGTGATTTCTAAATGTGACTACAAAATAATCTTGATGCCCTCACACCCGCCCGTCCCCTCGCGCCCGCCCGTACGTACTCTTGCACCTGTCCATACCCTCGCACCCGCCCGTACCTGCGGCGCGAAGATCTTGGGGTTGGACAGGAAGTGATGTCGGAACACTTTGATGATGAGGTCGAGTTCTCGCAGGTACTGTCTCTCCTCGGCGATCTCCAGCCGCACCAGGTCATCGTAGGTGAGCTCCCCCGAAGACGAAGGCTCCTCCGGGCCCTGGGACATGAGCCCGATGTCCTCCTCCTGGTCGAACATGTCCATGAGCACCTGCCGCAGAGGAGAGACAGGAGGTCGAGGTCAAGGGTTAAGAGCGAAAAGAAGGTGGAAAATTATCAAAAGTGGGGCTCAGTGAAGTTAAAGAGGAGGTATTTTACTTCTGTTGGGGGGGTAAAGGGCACATATTACAGTTTTCTGATCTTCTTTTGTTTTTGTTTTTGTTTTTCCAAATGTATTTGTGTATTTTAGTTTGCTGAAATTATGAAAGTGTTAAAAATAAACTCCTCAGCCAGTTTTGTGTGATAAAGAAAGTTCGGGCTGAGTCTGGTCTCACCTTGTCGGCGCACATGGACACCTTGATGTCCTGCTGGCTGATCTCGTAGTGACGGATGTTTCCCACGTAGTTTCCGGCGAGCTTCAGGATGTCTGCGGATATGTACTCGAGAACGGCCACGATGTAGAGAGAGACGTGGTAATCCACTCTGTACCCCAACACCTCCTGCGCGCAAAACACAACCACGTCTGAACATCCAAGGAGAGGCATTACAAAGAACTGACTTGATTTTGCTTTTCTCTAATACCAGTCCCCCTGGGTTGAAAGTCTCAGGGTGAGCGTCGCCCTCCTTCCACATTTATATATTTTGTCTCTTTGTTATTGTAATATATTGTGATGTGTGAGCTACTGGGTCCAACTCTTTTCCCTTGTGGATCAATGAAGTCCAAGTCCAAGAAGCTGATTTGGGGTTTATATTTTCAGATATTTATTGACAAAATATCTAATTATAACATTTTTCCTATGAATTTGCCTAAAACATATTTAAAATGGGAATAAAAATATGATAATTACAACGATAATTTCTCAGATTCAAATCTACTGTGTCACTGTCACTGTGATGTACTGAGTTAGAAAATCAGCTTCTATATCAGAATAAAATGAAATGTGAATGTATCAGACCAAATGTGGGGCCTTGTTTATGTCATTTTACCGATCTTCCCGAAGCGGCACACATATTTTCAGTCTGTAATATCAATATAATCCTCATTTTCTCACAGAAGTTTAATCGTGTTTTAATTTATTTTGTCTTGGTCCCCCTGTGCTATTAGCCTGATTCATGAGCCGGTTTCACTTGGTGTAAACCGTGTGACCTCGCAACATTAGGATTCGTTCTCTTCACAGTAGGCGGTACTTTTTTATTCAACCAATCGTTGCTGTTCGGTCATGACGTTTGTAATGTGTCACTTACGGGGTTAACTGGTATATTACGCTTTTCCCAAATCCTGTAGAAAGAAATACAATAACGTCTTTCCCCTTGATAAAATTCACTAAACATTCTCTTCATTCCGGCTTTAAATCCTCGATCTCGGGAATCGTTGCCAACACAGAATGTCTGTCTCTTCTTTGATTGGCTGGAGCCCAAACTCACACTTCCGGGGTTCTTGTAAATCGTCTAGTGTTTTCTGATTCCTGATCTAGTCACTGGAGAGAAATGAAATTGAGTGGGGGCACTAGGTGGCACCAGCCTGGGTTCTACAGCGGGGGTGTCCAAACTTTTTTCATCAAGGGCCACATCTCTAAACACAGACGAAGCAGAGGACTGATCGAGGGCTGTAGACTGATGCTCAATATAGAGAATAATTGAAATATGTGCATGTTTATCACATTAGAATGATCCATCAGACTTTATTCACGCCAAGATCCTTAAAACCACACACTAAATATTCAATATTCGCTTTATCAAGGTAGATTTTCAAAAAAAACTTGCAGTAAAAAGTTATTTTTTAATTGATATAAGGTAATTTGGGCCAAGTCACCTAGAAGCCTGAGGGCCAAGAAAAATTTGTCCGAGGGCCGCATTTGGCCCACGGGCCGCAGTTTGGACATGCCTGATCTACAGCATCAGTAACTGGAAGAAAATATTATTAACTAACATAAACGGTACAATTCAGGGGGACTTTCCAGCTGATTTCCGTTTTGTCTTGGATGTTCCACAGTACGGCATTAAACCTTCTCTCTTCACGGAGACCAAACCAGACCAAGTTACGGGTCAGATCTGTGGAGAGGCGACCCCGCTCACAGTCAGAACGCCTGTTTTTCTAGGTATTTTTGAGCTGTAATTTAATAAATGTAAGATAAATGTAAAGTACAGCTGTTTAATGTCACACTGCGGAACATTCCAGGCAGAGCGATGACGTCTCCATAGAAGAAAGCAGCTCACGGACGCCCAACCAAAAAGTTCCACAGTGCAGCTTTGATACTAAACACGTGTAAAGCCATGATAAGTGTTCTGTTTGTGGTTTGTGGCGCGTACCTTGAGCAGCGGGTGTATCTTGTCGACGGGCAGCAGCAGAGGGTTTCTCCGTTTGCGTTTCTCGATGGCCGCCTGAGCGTCTGCGATCGCCCATTTATCGATGGGGTGAGGGAAGGTCTTCTGCACACGCTCCTGCGCCGAGACGAACATGAATCAGCATTACACAGCAGTCACACACAAACCGTACACACACGTGGACTGAGTGTGTGTGACGTCTCCCACAAGCGCTCAGCTCCAGTCAAATGAAGCTCACAGAGGTCGGCGTTTCCAGGAGGGAATCTGGAGCCAGGTCCATACTAAAACTTGGAATTTATTAACAGGCAAAATGTTGAAATAAACCCGAGGATCATGTGCCGCGGGTTAATACGAACATTTTAAGACCAAAATGCCGAGGCTCACAGCAGCAGGTACAGAGAGAGGAGCCAGTGTGAGTCAACAGGAGCTGATGGAGCCAGAATCGTCTCCATGTTCACTTCCTGTTTGGAGCGCGTGGTTAACAGGTTAGTTATGTTCATTTGTATAAAGTGTGTCTGTGTCTGTGCAGAGCTGGACACACAGATCTCTGACCACAAAGTCCTGATCAGGTCTTAAACAGTCACATATTACACTTGGGATTTACAGGCAGATGAAAAGCTCCACACACTTGTGATTCTTTATTCAGTCCAAACTCAGGTGGGTCTTTTATAGCCAGGGCTGCCCCCTCTCTTTCTCCTTCTCTTTCTCCTCCTCTTTTGCCCTCTCTCCTCTCTATCTCCCCCCCTATAGTCGCAGCTGCCCTGGGGCAAACTGACAGAAGCGGGGCCGCCCCTCTCCCCCTCCCTCTCTCCTCCTCCCTGTCCTCTCCTCCTCCTCTCTCCTCCTCTGTCCTGCACTCTGCACTCTCCTCTCTCCTCCACTCTCCTCCTCTCTTCTCTCTCCTACACTCTGCACTCTCCTCCTCCCTCTTCCTTTCTCCTCTCTCCTCCTCCTCTCTCCTAATCCTCTCTCCTCCTCCTCTCCCTCCTCCTCTCTCTCCTTCTCCTCCTTCTCCTCCTCCTCCTCTCTCCTAATCCTCTCTCCTCCTCCTCTCTCCTCCTCCTCCTCTCCTAATCCTCTCTCTCCTCCTCTCTCCTCCTCCTCTCTCTCCTCTCCTCCTCCTCCTCCTCCTCCTCTCCCTCCTCCTCCTCTCTCCTCCACTCTCCTCCACTCTCCTCCCTCCTCCTCCTCCTCCTCCTCCCTCCTCCTTTCTCCTCTCTCCTCCTCCTCCTCCTCCTCCTCCTCCTCCTCCTTCTCTCTCTCCTCTCTCCTCCTCCTCCTCCTGTTCGTCTTCCTCACCTCCACGTCCTGCACAGATCTGGGTTGGGCCACACAGAGCATGTTGAGCAGTTGCAGGATCAGCTCTTCGATGTGCTGGAGAGCGTCCTCCTTCGCCTGCAGGTTCGGGTGCACCTGCTTCTGCACCTGCCACACACAACGGCAAAACGTTACACACAAAAAACATCAGGACACGCAAAGAATCTACGACACACAACGGCAAACTGTTAATTAATACATAAATACTTTTTTAATGGGAATTTAAATCATGACAATAATGCACAAAACAAAAAGAAATCTAAATTCCTCAATACGGTATTTTCATGATATATATCTTACGGTTTGATATTTATTGTAATATTCTGTGAAGGTTAACAAATTTCTGTGAATATGCAACTTTTTCCTTTTAAAAACCTTGGAAAAGTCTTGAAAAGCCTTTGGTCCTGTTATCATACAAAGAATTAAGATTTAAAAGTGCTTCATAACAGTTATTTAAAACTAATTTAAAACAAAACTCCCAGAAAATATTCAAAAACTGTTCTGCACAAATGAACTCAAATACAGCCTGAGAGCTCAAATGAATTTTAAAAAACAATTCTCTGGAACTGCTTTCAAAAGCACACGTCATACAGACGTGGAGTAACTTTCTAGAGAATCTTAGATGACCATTTCAAAACTTGAACTAACTCAAAAAACAATATAAAAATCTAATCTTAAGAAATACCTAGAAGAGGAAATCCACAGTCTTCACAAGTAAAACCACGACTATGAAGTAAACACAAACTTTTCTTTAACATCTTCTTCAACTATGATACAATCATTTTGTACCTTCTTTGTCATTATTATTATTATTAGTTTGTACGACCATAATCGAAAACAAAAAAAAATCCTTTCATTTTTTTCATTCTCATTGTGGTTTATTTTGAATGATCATAAATGATAATAATGTTAACGAAGGCACAAAAGCTTATCCGTTTGTATGACCGTAAATGGAAAAAACCCGGCTTCTTTAAAAAAAATTAAGAGAAGAACTAAAAAAAGTGACTGTATTTCTGTTTCGAGGGGTTAGTTTATGGAACATGAGTGATGATTTTAAAAAAGTCTAACACTGCAGAAACCTTTAAAAAAAAAGTATAAAGTATAAAATAAAGTCTTATGTTTTGAAAGATCTAGAGCTCTGGAATGAATGAATCATGCATTAAATTTTGTTTATTTTAATTGATATTTTGTTTCTTTATTTTTACAGTGAGTCGTGAGTGAAATTGTAAACACAAACTTGTTGTTCAGATGCTGATTTTCTTTCTTGGAATTCTGTCGTTGTATAAAAGGGTTTGTGTTATATGAACTTTTTACTTCAGCCTAAACCATTTCAGTCCTGATCCACGAGCTGGAGTCTGTGTTTTATTTTGTTTTGCAGTACTGCTACAACTACTACTACAACTACAACTATTATGGCTACTACTACTACTACTGTGACTAATACTGCGACTACTAATACAACTACTACTATTATGGCTACTACTACTACTACTACGGCTACTACTACTACTACTACGGCTACTACTACTACTACTACTACGGCTACTACTACTACTACTACGGCTACTACTACTACTACTACAACTACTAATACAACTACTAATACAACTACTACTACTAATATGACAACTACTATTGCGACGACTACGACTACTAATATGAGAACTACTACTACTACCACTACGACTACTAATACAACTCCTACCACTACTACTGCAACTACTACTATTACTACAACTACCACCGCGACTACTACAACCACTACAACTACTAGTACGACTACTGCGACTACAACTACTACGACTACTACTAGGACTACTAGGACTACTACGACTACTAGTAGGAATACTGTGACTACTGTGACTGCGACTACAACTACTACTGCAACTACTACTATTACTACAACTACAACAACTACTACTTCTGCTTCGTGTAGTCTGCACTGACAACAGCAAAGGATCATGGTCTATGTAGTTCCCTCTGTTTTATTCTACAGCAGCACCAAGTTTATTTAAGAAAGACAAAAAAAAAAAAATCACCAAAACTATTAATTTAAGTAAACAGACGTGTAATTCGATTTACTGTGAAAGCCTCCGATATTACTGTGAGACTTTTGACGATATTTTGTTTATTGTGTACATAATGATTTCGACTCATTTGAGATTTGTTTGAGTTTTACAGTTAATTTTACAGTCCAATCTCGCCGACTGTGACACTCGAAGCTCCCGCAGTAGCTCCAGAAGAATGAGGAGGATGAAAGTGTCATGCATTCCTCAGCTCTGACTAAACTCCAGCTCCCTCCAAAAACGTGTGGTATTCACCGCTCCATTTAGAACAAAACCAAACACTGAGCCGCACCGGGGAGTCGCGAATCATGGGAATATTATTATTTAAATCCAGTCTCTCGCCATTTCCGCTGCTATTATTAACGTGTATATATTTTGTCTCTTTGTTATTGTAATTTATTGTGATGTTTGAGCGACTGAGTCAAAGTCTTTTCTCTTATAGATCAATGAAGTCCAAGTCTAAGAAGCTATTATTGTCAAAATCTCTAATTACAACATGTTTCCTGTGATTGAATTTGACTAAAAATATGTTTAAACAGGGAATAAAAACACGATAATTACAACGATCATGCCAATAAATCAAAATCTGGTTCATAATTAAAGATGTGCTATGTAAGTTTTTGTTTAGGGGTGAATACCAGCTCAAGTGTCCCATTCTCTCCCCATTCTAGTTAGAAAATCAGCTTCTGTATCAAAATAAAATGAAATGTGAATGTACCAGATCAAATGTGGGGCCTTCTTTGTGTCATTTTCCTGACTTTCCTGAAGCAGTACACAATTTTTGAGTCTGTAATATCAATATAATCCTCATTTGCTCGCAGAAGTTTATTATGAAATCATATTTTAAATCATTTTTTCCCGTTTCCCATGTCCTACAGAATCTGTAACTGTTGATTTGTGAAGAAATATGAATTATTTCCTCAACAGTCATGAACACAACTTGTGAGCAGCTCAACAGAAAAACTCAGAAAACTACAGAATTTGTTCAAAATATCAACTGTAACTAACATAAAATATATAATGAAAAAAATGTTGTTTTTATTTACTTATATGTATAGATTAACTAACATAAAGTATACAATTCAGGAGGACCTTCCAGCTGATTTCCTTGGGAGTCTGTCACCTGCTTGTTTCTATGGAGACGTCACTGCTCTGTCTGGAATGTTCCACAGTGTGACATTAAACAGCTCGACTTTATTATTTATTTATTTATTACAGGAGGTTTTCTGGCTCAAAAATACCTACAACAAGGGTCTTCATCTTGTACCTACCAGTTGTGCTTCACCTCCTTTAAAGTAACTCGCAAACAGATTTCTGAAATGTACATATCATGCCGAATAAATCAAGTTTGATGAATTAAATGTTTATGGATGTAACAATAACCAAAATATTGTGAGGTCGTGTCGTCAAAAGTCTCACAATATTATCATGAGCTGTCACAATATATCGAATGACAAGTTCCTTTGCTTAAATTAAATGTACAGTTTTACAGTAGCAACAGCTTATGAACATCAGGAACTACATTTCCCATGATTCATTTCAGCACAGACAACATGAAAAAATATGTTTTTTACTTGAATTCCTGGGATTATGATGGAAATAATTCACACCAAAATCTTGTCAAGGTATTTTAAAAGCAAAAAAGTATGTTTCATCTACAATTATATTAGTCTTTTTAAAATATCATAATAAATATCGTACCGTGAGATCTATATCGTGATAATATCGTACACTGAAATTTGGATATCGTTACATCCCTATACATCTCTAACCCATATTAATATTGTAAATAGGTCATTTTGATGCTTTACTTTACGTACTGTTTTATAAACATCTAACTGTGCCTCATCTATGGCTCTTATTTTTACTTGTATTTGTTTCTTGCTCCCGCTCACCGAAGGAAAAAGGCCGGAGACCCCTGACTTTGAAAAACAGACATTCTGACTGTGAACGTGGTCGCCTCTCCACAGATCTGACCTGGAACTGGGTCTGATTTGGTCTCCATGATGATAGAAAGGTTTAATGCCGTACTGTGGAACATTCCAGACAAAGCAATAACATCTGACAGATCCTCTACCAGAAAAGTCACAAAAAATTTGAATATCATGAAAAAGCTGTATATTTTTTGTCTCTAATTTCAGAAACTCAAGCTCATATTATACAGAATGAAGCTTTCAAACTTTCATTTCTTGACATTTTCATGATTTTGTTTTTCATAATATTCTAATTTTGAGCGGGACCAGCAGCTGCCTAATCCTCACAAGACCGGGGCCCGTTTGAAGAGTCTACTGTACTCTGGAAAAACTGTAAACACGAAAGAAGAAGTGGCTTTCCAAACATCCTGTGCAGATTCCAGAAGACGCCGAGCTCTGAGTCATGATCTGAAACTCCGGGGTTTTCCCATTCAAATACTTGACCTGGATTTACCACTGTCACCTACAACGGGCCGCATCTGTGGAGCGGCGCACGCGATTACAGACACCCAGCGCACCTTTAATGTCACTGTAAGAGTCGAAAAGTGTGTTTAAAAGACCTATATTACACAAAACTCTGACTTTTATGAGCTTTTAGTCATGTTCTAATGTTTTTCCTCCTAAAAAAACAGAGCTGGAGCTGTGTTTTGTTTTATTCACATGTTTGAGTAACTTTTTATTATTAATTATTAATCTACATCTCAAACTCAAAATGCTACAGCTGTATTTTACCTTTAGTTGAGTGTTTTGTTTTGTTTTTTTTTTCAGTTTGAGAAGAAGTTTTGTGTTAAAGATGTGTGAATAAAAAAAAACACGTCCAGGTCTGTGTGTGATGAGGAAACGACGTTAGAACAGGAGGAGAAAAGTGTAATGTGGCTCTTTCACACGTTTAATTTCCCATCAGTCACTTCTGTTTCGATGAGATTCATGTAAAGGGGAGGTCGCTCTGTCGTTTCTCTTTAAACCGCAGCTCTGTTTCTCTTAAAGGGAGTGTTTCTGTTACATAACATTAAAACACCTCTCTCTCTCTCTCTGCTTTCTCTCCATCTCGGTCTCGCTCTCGCACATG